CCAAGAAGCCGTGCGGTTTCGCCAATGCGGTCTAGTAAATGGATGGAAAGGTTGGGAATACGTAATGAGCTACAATAGGGACGATTGGCCAGTTAGGAGGATGAGGAGGTAGCAGCGGTGAAAAGTGGAGACGGAGGTGGGAGCACAGGAGGGTGAGAAGGTGGTGGTGGAGGAGGAGGAGGACGAAGAGTAGGTGAAGTGGAAGAGGGAGGCGGTGCAAACCAAAGCTCTGTGTGAGGCAGAGGGTGATGAAACGGATGCGGTGAGAGAGAACAGAGGGCTTGAAGGGGAGGTGGAGGAGGCGAGATGCATCCGGTGGACAAAAGCGAGATCATCCATGCCAAATAAAAGAGACATTGGTGTCATGGAAGTAAGTAGTGAGAATAACCCACCCATTCCTCCACTTTTCATCACCACGTGCAAACATTCAAGACAAAACCAACACAATTAGCATCATGGCGCAACGTCACAAGTGACGCAGTTGACCCACCATTGAATTGAAGTAGTGCCCCACTCCTCCACTACAAGATTGTAAGTGGCATTGTTGTGGTTGCTGCTGCTCCTTTTGCGCACAACCGTGGACGTGGTGGCAGAGGAAAATGCAGCTATCCTTTCGTGCAAATGCACATCTTAATGAGCGAATTCATCTGTGCATTGATGGTGAGCCGCTAGTTCTATGGCTGCCTTCCCGTAATGCGAGATCAATCCGAACCAAATTCATTCTCTAAGTTGAAATTAACTGCACTCACCCACACCCACCCATTGTCGCCTTATACGGTCGTGGTATTGCCACAGATGCTGATGCTCGGTAACAGGCTAGCATTGCCATGAATGATGCCATCACTACGTCAACGATGCCAATAGAATCTTATGTTTGAAGAGGACAAACGAAGGAAGGGAAGCAGTGGTAGTGTCGATGAGAGGCTGCCACAATGCGGTACAGAAGGGTGGGAATGATATGGAAGACGAGGAGTATTGATTAAGGAGAGGGTGAGCTGGAGGAGGATGTGGCACTTTTCTTGTACTTCCTGCAATCGTACCCATTCAACCCATTAATTATTGAATTGTTAATTTGTAAGCTGGTCAGTTGAAACTCTGGGATGAGACACTATGCATGTGGTCACCTACAAGGAGTCTTTCAAGCAGTCACACTGGATAATTCTCATGTGTGATGAGTAAAGGTGCAGCCTTGTAATGAGTTTTGGATGGAGGAGAGCAGCATGTGTAATGCAATGTAATAAAGGATCGATTGTGTCCAATTTCTCTCAGCGTCCTCTGGACGTTCTCTATGCCTGACAGCAGTGATAGGAACACTGAGGAGGAGGAGGAGGATGCAGGTGTAAGAACAACGGCTGACGAAGAGGGGCGTGAACAGGTGTGTTGTGCAATGCCCTTGACTGGTGTCGTGGTGAGCATGTTAGCTGCCATCGACCACCATTCCTCTCAACAATATATTCAGCCTACCTTCTTGTAAATTCAACAGGTCGACCGCATCGTGGACG